AAGAATGTGTACGGTTTCCAGAACAGTTTCTCCTCAGCCAAATGTAGCGGTCTGTAAGATACAGTATGCCTCCAGCCCTTATCTCCCACATGCTGTCCGTTGCCCTGTTTCGTCACTTTGTGCGTCAGTGCTTGTGTCATAACTCTTTATTAACCACAACCTGAGTCTGTGTGTAGTGATTTCTGCAGGTTCTTAGATTCAACTTCAGCTGAAAGTGAAAACTGAGCAAAAAGTGAATCTGGACCTTGTGGAATAAAGCAGCTTATCTGTAGGAAGAATAGCTGCAAGTACTGAAGTACAGTTTTGAGGTATCTGTACTTAAGTATTTTCATTTCCTGCTACTTCATACTTCACTATATTTTAGAAGCAAATATTGTTCTTTTTACTCCTCTACATTTATTTTATAATTTTTTTGCTAGTTCTCAGAATCTGATTAACAGAACAAAGCACAGGATCATTCTAAGACTGTATTGATCCCAGATGGGAGATTCACAAGCTCTCCATCAGTATTTCAAATTATAATCCTGGAAGGTAGTTAAAATAGGCTCCACCTGTACCAGCTGAAACTATAAATGTAATGCACACAGTAATGGATTAGTAATTCTACTAACACTCACAGTGACAACATGCTAATTGTTTACCATGGTCACTTTCCTAGTTTAGCATTTTACCAGGCTAATATTTGGCCATAAACCAAAGTGTTGGGCAAGTTGAATTTCTGAACTGTTGATAGAACAGAAAGAAAATAAAGGGCCACCAATGTGATTACAACTGATACTGGGGGGAACATAAATGTCTGTTCTCAGTTTCACGACATTTAGTCCAATAGTTTGACACTTCACTCTGACCACAAACGTCAAGGTGGTGCCAGAGGAAAGGTCAGGGGTCACTGAAGTTCGTAAGATCCGTCCTCGGAGGGATCAGAAATGTCTGTACAAAAGAAACAGCACTCAATCCAAAAGTTAAGAACCAACAAATCAGTCAAACAAGAGACGAGCACTGGAGAAGAGTTGCACCGACTGCGTGACTGAGAACTGAGTATCAATATAGAAAAAAAAAATGTTTGCACATGGCTTTGAGTTTCCTCATAGCCTATTAGGTTGTACCATTTAGTTTAACCTATTACTTGAATTCAGTTTTCATATTCTGTTTATTCTATGTTTATTCTACTTTTATTCTATTTTTATTTCTTAAATGTTATAGGCATTCAACATTAGGTGAGAGAGAAACTGTATTTCAGTTTTTCTGTATGTCTTGCACATACTTATAATGAATTGACAATAAAAATCTTTGACCTTGATACTGTAAACAATTATATTTAAAAAGGGAAAGAAAATTGTGACGCTGAAATAATTCCCATATGAGCTAAAGATGTCTTTTCTAAAAACATACATAGTGTAGTATATTATTCAAGAATTGCTTAAAATGATGATGGCGTTTTGAGAGGCGCTGCAGTCAGAATATTGATTGTCTGTATCCGCATTAAGCCCCCGCTGAGTGATTGACAAGTTATTGACATTTTGCGCTTTCAGAAAGGCCAGATTCAAATGTCACACTTGATTTTTTCAGTCTGTAGACTGATAAAGTTCAATAGATCCATCATTATCGTAATCAACCTGCCAGTCCAAAACACACTCCCTGTGAGCTTCAGCTGTTTCCGTGTGAAGGTGATGTGATGTGACTGCAGCACTGTAAGACATGTACTGTACTGTACAGTATAGAAAATACTGTTATAGCAAATAACCTACTTAGTTCATTCATGTCATGGAGTGAATGCGTCATGAGGCCTGTTCATTAACCTCTTCACTGAGCACAGAGGAGGACACAGGGAGCTGTGTGAGACAGTAACACAATGCGGCAGCTTTTCAAACATATGAGCATGTAATTGAAATCTTGCATTCACAGGCATTTCACCTGAGTGTTTTGTTTGTCGTAATGAGGAGCAGTGGAAAATGTCTCCTGCAAAGGCAGTGGCTTTGTCATGCAAACGTTTCAGACATACTGCTTTTAAAATATGTGCAGCGTGCTCCCGAACAGACACGGTGTGCTGTCTGGGAAGGCGGAGCAGTAAATACCTCCCATACGTGTTCCTCCACTGAAACTAATGAAAGTAATTTAATGGAGCAGTGCACAGTACAGACAGAAATAGGTGCAGGAATTTCCTTTACCCACACAATGAGCAAGAAGACAGTTAATCTAAAATATACACTCACCAGCCACTTTATTAGGTACACCTGTACAGATGTATGCAATTCAGTGCAACACTTCCACCTTAACATCTGTGTTTCTGAAGCTCAATATGTTTCAGGTTTTGGTGAAATTGTCATAAATGTATAAACTCAATGATATGTTGATGATAGAGGTCATAGTTAAAGGTACTGGACTACTGTTCCTAATATTGTGACTCTCTCATGCATGTAGCTGGGTAGGACAAAAATGTTATGTAAATCAGAGCAGACCCCCAAAATAGATGAGATGAGATGAGAACCTAACATAAAGCACATTTATTTTCTGTTGTACCACAACAGGAACCTCAGCTCCACCACAGGAACGTTAAGCTTTTGTATGAGCAGGACGACACCGGAGACACCTGAATGTAATCGTAGTTTTCTACAGTACAGTAGACTTGTTTATGTCCCTTGCTGCTCTGCACTTGCTCTTCATTTACTTGTAAAGCTTGGTGTAGTGTAACACTGCCTTTTCTGAGGTACCGGGTTGTGCAAGGCTCAGGTGTAGCCCTCCCTGTTGCCTTTTGTTTCCTTAGCGTCTCACAGCCATTTCCTTATCCGTCTTTGCTCGTCAGGAAATGTGCCGGTGGGCTTGTGTACCTTGACCACTTTCTCCTAGTGGGAGAGCCTCCTTTTTTCTTTAGTTTCTTGTCTATTGCTGCTTTGGTTTCATTATCAGTTGAACCGTGAGGTGGATGAGATAGTTTGTTGTCTATTAGCTGTTGTTTGTACCTTTTGTATTTCATTTTGTTTCACTGGTTTGATTGTTACACTCACCAATAAACCCTTGCACTTTAAATCCCTTACCGGAATATATTCCCTCCCTTTTCCACAAACGAGCCGGGTTGTAACAAATGCGTTTCTTGGGTAAAACAGAAAGGACAGTTTGGCCCAAGCCATAAGAACAGAACCGCAGGTCAGTGCTTTGTCATGCAGATTAATTTTATTACAAAAAGGTTTATACAAATTTAACTGCACAATGACAGTGAACTTGTATTTATGATATTGAACACCACCTGTTACCCTCTACGCCATCTGTGGCAGGAAATGACTCGTATATTTCAGCAAAATAAATAGAAGGTGACATTCACTTTAGCACCATTCCTTTTCAGGAAGGTTGACCATAAGCCCAAAGACATATTCACAGCTGTCTTAATAAACACACAAATATACATGAAGCCCAAATCAAAACAACAGAGGGTCCACCAAACACAAAAGCAGACTTCATTGAGCTTTATTTAAACAACCAGAATGAATCAAAGATGAAAAACTGTCTGCCCAGTGAGTTTTTATAGATCTTAATTTTCATATATTTTTATGTTCATGTCTTTGGACTGACTGGGTGGATCTGTGGTTTTTAATAAAATCATTTCTGATGCACTTCCTGATCCTGAGGGGATCAGTTATTGAAACAGAAATCTTCCACACTGTTGAGCCTGATCATCTGTAGCTCCTGACTGTCCAGTAGCCGGTAGCTGAAAGACACTCGGGTGACAAACCTGCCACTGGACACCATCCTCACCACTGTGTTGTCACAGCCGATCTTCATGTGGACTGCAGGGGGGGAGGAGAGGGAACATTAAGTCTCAGTTCATCCCGTAGGGTTGTACAGGAAGGAAGGAGGGAGATACTCACTGGGTCCAGGGAAGGAGATGCAGAGGTCTGTGATGGGCAGCAGCTTCGATGTGTCGATGCCACTTCCTCCCAGCAGCTGCACGAAATCTCCTGATTCTGTGCAGCCAGGCATGGACCTCTGAGGAAATCAGCATGTGGCACATATTAGCCATCAGCAGGTTCCGCTGGGTTATCGTTCATTTATTACAGTGGTAAATTAATTTAATGATACTGGTGAGCACAATGAAAGCAGAATATAATAAGGGAATAATGAAAATCCTGTCAATAACATTATGTCTTAGACAATATAGAAAAGATTCAAGTTTTCAGTAAAGAGTTTACAGATGTGAAATCCTTTTGTCTGCCTTTATTTCATTTTTAGAGGCCGCCTGATGAGTGTAAGTCCAATATTCACTCTGTTGCAGAGCAGAGGGTGACAGTGGGTTGTAGACCTTTGTCACTATAAACAGCTTTCTGCTGCAGCTGGAAATGTACGTTTTACACAAAGTGGGCAGCGGTGTGTACATGAGATGTTCTGGAAAGACACTGGTGTTGAGGTTTCCAAATGTAGTTTCTGAAAGCTTTAAGCACCCCGAACAACATTTAGGTCATCTTCATTATATTTGTGTAGGAATAAAGCGCCTTGAGACATCAGTGTATTATATTCACCTTGGGGAAGTTGCTGTAGTGTCCCAGGCTGAACTCTGAGATGTTAATCTCCACTGGATATATAATGGAAAAGCTGCAGTTCCTGTGCTGCTGCGGGATCACCATCGTGTAACTGCCCTCTGGTGACTGGGAGATAACATTACATGCTGCAGGGAGACAGGAAATGGTAGAAGGAGGGATGTTACAAGGACAGATCCTCCAGATATTCACAGAAGCAGCGGCCACACTCTCCAACTGTTTATTGCAAGTAAATAACAAGATACGAAGATTAGTAAACAGTTAAAGGTGATTTAATAAGAAGCACCTGTTTTTCCAAAGCACTATAGTTTTGTGGAACTAAACAAAGAACAAGCTTCTAGAGTATGAAACTGACTGAAACTGATGTTTTTGGTGTCATGAAAGTAAATGATATGGTGATTTTAGGAATTAGAGAAACTGATCATTGCATAGGTCTAATTGTTCGGTTTAATCCTTGGATCTTTTTCTTCTTTACATTTTACTGTAAGACGACACTGACAGTGTGATGTGCTGTGCCCTGTTGGTGCACCTTGCCAGGCTTGTATCACCACCACTTACTTACACATTAACAGTGAAGTAGGCGTAAAATTGAAGCAGTTAGATTTGCATACTGTGTATCTACTCACGGAAAGGGTTGATGTGTTTCCTGACTGTCAGGGTGAAGCTGCTTCCAGCACTGTGAATGCGAAAGAAGAGCATGGCCACATTCTGAGAGGAGCTCACCCTTCTCCTCAGCGTCCCCGAGTCACAGTAGTCCACATAGCGCTCAAACAGAGGCAGCGGGTGATCCTGGGAGCTGGGGAACTTTTCTCCTTTCATCACCCAGCCATCAAAAACCTTCATGGGACACATCAACAGGGAGAGGCAGAAGGTAAGATTTCATATTCAGCCAGAGATGATTTCTGCAGAGCTTTGTTTAATTTCACTGAAATGTGGAACAATGACTGATCTGTGGGAAAGACATTGAACCCTAGACCATCATACATTTAGAACGTAGAGAGCGCCAATGTGCAACCTTGGAGGCTGCAGGTCACCTAAACTGAGCAGGTTACGTACAACTGCCTTTTTTTTTAAGTTTGTCTAAGCTTAGTCAAGCCAATTAATTGAGCCCAGTGTTTGGTGGCATGCAGACACAAAAACAAACCCACATTTCATCACCTCAGTAAAATACTAAATATTTACAGAAACTTTCCATGCAACTGACTTTTATGATGCTGCAGTTAAAGCTGAATGTTCTTACATAAAATAATAACTGTAGTGGAAGAAGTTTACCGTGATGAAGTCCCCTCCCCCGCAGTCGATGTCCACCCTGTCAAACTCCACAGTGATGACTTCACTGGGCTCTGCCATGAAGAAGGCAGCACAGCTGAGCTGAGGACGCTCAGCTGTGAAGGTGAACTGACCCTCCACTGCAACCATGTCCAGACAACCTGGGAAACAAACACACATCTGTACAGTCACAAAACCGCTAGAAAATGGCAGGCACAGGCAAATGAATACTTTAAACAAAATCATTATTAGTTATCAATAGATTGTGCTTTAATAACCGTTATTTTTCTTTCTTTAATCCCTTTTTACTTTACTCACTATATTCCCCTCTCTGTTCTGCCTATATCAGTGAATTCCATGTATTATGTCAACGAAGCCAATTGAAATTGAAAACCCAAACTAAAAAGAGGAAGTCTAAAAAAGAGCATGTCATAGTTATTTAAAATTTCCTTTCAGATTAAAGAGTGTATGTGAGAGAAACAAATGCAAATGCGTTTTAATCTCCCTCTCATACACACAAAGTGTAGAAGCTCTCCAATCTGCCAGGCAGCCTATAGATTCCATATGACTTACGTAAAGGTCGGCGATACATTAAGTCCTCAGGTGTTTCTCTCCTAAGTTCCGGGTTGAACAATGAATACCATTCATCATTTGAGATCTCGTTGTTCTGCAGAAGGTGCGTATAAAATTTAGCAGAAGCTGTGAATATTCGAAGAATAACTACGCATTTAAAGTATGTCAACGTGTGTCCTGAGACTCACCTCAATATATCTGGAGTCTCCCGTGAGGACAGACAGACACAACACCAGAAAGAAGAGCTGCTCTCGGAACGTGCGCTCCATAACGCGCGTCTCTGTGTCCAAGGCGCACCTGAGCGAAGAGAGTCTGAGCTGCGCAGCGACCAGCGCTGCTTTTTATAGGGCCACTTGGTCTGTAGCGACCAACTGACATGGGCGCTGGAGCCCACCTTGGACGCCCCACCCCCACCCCCAGCAAAATACGTGGTTGTGACAAGAGCTAGG